TGAAGTAAAAATATACATAGACCTAGAGAATTTATCTAAAGGATATATTTTTTTGAAGTCTTTGTATTTTTTCATTGTTTTAAGGTGTGATCACACAAAGATAATATTTTCTTTAAAAAAATGTCCAAGATTAAATTTATGATATGATGTTTTAATTGTTTTGATAGAACTAGTAAAGATATTAACTTGATTAAAGTTTTATTTGCTTACTTCATTGATTGGCCTTTGTACTTAATTTCAATATGCTGGGAAAAAAAAGTCATCATAAGTTAATGTCTGTCATGAATGATAAGTTCTTAGATGTTTTATACAATATAGTAAATGTATAAATTTTAATCACTTTAATTTATCATATTTGGGTATATACATTTGCCATATAATGTTTTATGATAGCCGAGCAGATTAGCTTCCATACAAGAAAGTTTTAAACTTGTTATGATATCTCAATTTATTTTAAGTAAAATTAAGAGTTATTGAAACATAATTTCATTTGAAAAATATTTATTTAAGTTGTTTAACTCTCAATTAAGATATTGGTTTAATTATCTTGGTTACCATTATCAAACCTAACAGTTATCAATGTTTAAAGGGTAAATTATTGTCATTTATTGGCAATGTGTTTTAAAAAAAAAATTAATATTTTCTTTTGAGGAACTCACACGTGAGGGGGAGAATATTTTTTACACTTATCAAATGTGTGAGAGTTTTTGAGAAATGAAGTTTTGTGCAAATAAGTAAACTATTTGTTTTGTTTTTAATTGGTTCAGTTCCTTCTTTGATAATCTTCCCCAAATTTTGTTGGTTTAATTTTGAGAGGGAATAAGAATTTTAAAATGTTCTCTCATTTCACTTTCTTTGTTTTGAATTATATATGAACTAATTTTGAGAGTTATTTTAAAGAATGATAAATAAATATTTTGACATTTTTGCCAAAACTATTCTTTTAAGGGAAGTGAAAATTAGTGGGAGTTATTTTGCATATGTTTTAAAGTAGTAAGAACTCATAAATGCCCTAAAGTTATTGTTTTGGAGATATCATAGGTGTTAAGGTCAGTGAGAGTTAATAGGCTATTGATTAAAACATGTTTTAGATAAAAAAATTGATAATTCAATGAATTCCAAATTTATTGAAAATGATCTCTTATTAAAACATTGAGAATTTTCTGTTATATGAATATATGAATACGAAGATTTGTTCATAATATATTAGTAATTGTAAGTGGTTTATTAAAGTGACATCATGGAAGTCCAAGAACAATAAAGGTTATCACATTTGGCATGGGGACAAATAATACATAATTTTGTTATGACTCCATTTATTGAAATGTTCCTTATTTATTATTCAAAGTTTGATTGGATCATGTTTGTGATTTGCTAGATCAGTGCAAGTCATTATGAATTGATTAGGTGATGACATATTTTCTCTATGTAAGAATAATATGATTACCAAGCTCATAATATGAATATCTATGGGTATGAAAAATATAATCTAGTAAGGTACTGGGTTGATTATGGCAATTGATGCATTGTAAATTTGCTTTTAAAATCATTGTTATTTTGGATTTCTTTATTTTGTTAAATGTATCGCATGAGATCACTAATTACTTATAAGATATAGTTTGAAATGAATAAGTCCATAAGGTACTATTAAATTTAGTGGACACAATTGTTTTATTTATACATCATAATTGTTATTTGTATATATGTTTATTATTGCATGTGCACATCTCATATTGACATGTCAAATTATAAAATCTTAAAACTTTGTATCTATCTTATGTATGATTTTAATATCATTTAGGTATGCCTTATGAATGATAGGAACAAGTAACCTCAAGGATAAAAAAGAGATATAAAACACATCTGGATACCATGGAGATTTCTTAGCAAGTTTGAAAAAATCAGTAAAAAGACTGACAATGAAAATAAGTCATGAAGATCACATTTAGGTGTTATTTTTTTGCTATACAGCTACACAGAGATTGACTATCGATACAATCTTTGGTACTTACTAAAAGAGTCTTAAACTAGGATCTAAAACTAAATGCTTATCTGTTAGAGGATCTTGCTTCATGATCTTGTTATTTGTAGAACTTTACTAAGGTATGTCTCGAAAATATCTTTAGATTGCCATTCAGTGTGTATATCTACTTTTTCAAAATGAAATTTTATCATATTTGGTCCTACTTTGTGTGTCAATATTAATCTTATATGAAGTGACCATAAAAATAAATGATTGCTTAAGCAGTTATAGGTATCCAAATGATCATTTAACTATAGGTATCCAAATGATCATTTAACTATCTCTAACATATATAAAATTTATCCCTCAACATGCATTTAAAAGATAGATAAGCAATGTAAAATAATACAATAAAGGGATAGTTTTGGGAAAAAAGCTTATCCATAAGTTTTTTTAGGGAACAAGCTTTTCCAATAAGCTTTTGAGAAGGCATAATTTCACTATCTTCCATTTTCTTAACATCTTTGGCTCGTGGGCTTTTTCTTGGTTCTTCTAAGATGACCATCCAAGTGATGCCCAACCATGGAATCAATTTCTCTAACACTGATGAAGAGAAAAAAGTCTTTGCTCGCCTCTCACAAGTGCAATAATTCTTGTAAGAAGTGGAAGAGTGAACCAGCTCTTCAAGAATGAGCCTAAAATACATAATAAAAGATTTAGAGGTTGTTATTAAGATAACTCTTTCTTTTTATGAAGAAAAATATTCTATTTGTCAAAACAAAACTATTCGGTAAAACAAAGCTTTTTTATGGTAAAGTTGTAAGAAAACCCTAAATCCTTCAAAACCTTCTTACCTGTTTAATGAGAATTCTGCAATAGCCTCTCTGAAATTGAATTCTTTGTAAATGGGTAATTTTTCTTTCTCCTTTTTTATTTTCTTTGCATGTTTTATATACTCTTTTTGTTTTGTTTGCATGCAATTCTTATTTTTTCTAGGCAACTTGGAAATGTGTTGGATTGACTTTTATCATTACATGCATTTTTTAAATTTAGGTTGCTGAAGGTATAATAAGGGTTTATGAGGCTTTTCAGATTATTGTTGTTGATTTGAACCCCAGAAGATTCAAAGAAGTTAGGACTAGTTTAGTTGATTTGTTGTTCGGTTCTATGGTTATAAAGTAAAATTTCTAATATCTTGAGAATAGTCATATATATATATTTTGTAATGAATTTATAATTTTTTTATGAAAAATTGAATTTTTAATTTTATTTTTAATCAATGTTATCTTTTTATTTTATTTTGTTTTGAACAGTTAATTAATTTGTTTTTGAGTTTAAACAATGGCACAGAGTAATTGGGAAACAGATAAGATATATTTATATATGTTATTTCAAAAAAATGAATTTTAATTTTATTTTCATTTAGTCCTTAATTTTTTTCTGTTACTTTTTTGCAAGTCTCAGTGCAAGTTCTTCAGTGGGTGGAAGATGCTAGAATTCAACCTTCCAATAGGATGTTTGTTGACATTGTCTCCTTTTCATAGAAAGATTGTGGGGTTGAATATGCACATAAACATATAAGAAAAATTAGGTAAGCTGAAATTATTTTTGGCCTCATGAAACATTATTTTAGAATGTTTTCATAACTTTCCCGGAATGGTTCTTGGTTTGGAAACTAGCTTTTGGAATAAAAACATAGAATAATAGTTGTAATAATAAGGCGTACATGTGAGTCCCTATGCTTGTAATAAAACTATAGCATTTCATGAAAAAATATGCATATGGTGTTTTAGTAATGAAACATAATCCATGAGAAAATCTAAGGATCAAAATTCAAGCAACATCTCATCTGCTGACCTTGCCATTGATTGTTGGATTAGAGGTGTAAAGCTATAATTTGAGAGTGGTTGCTAGTGGTAATTACATTTCAAAGATAGTATATTTGATTTCTTAGATTTTATTATATAGTAAATATAAAAACCTAGCTAAACCAAAGTTTATTACGAGGAATCAAAGTGTAATTATGTACAGTTTGTTGTAGTTTCAATTAAGTGGGAGGGGGAAAAGAAGGAGGGTAACTTTCATTAGGATCATTGTATGTGAACAAATCTTCTTGACGGTTCTTCAACTAATTTTTGTTGTAATTTATAGACAACTCAGGTTTAGAAATAATAAGGGTTTAAGGGTTATTGTAGGAAAAAAATTTACCATGAAAAAGGAAAACTTTTTCTCTTATATCAAATTTCATCTCTTAACTATTATGGTTTTCTTTAAATGAACATAGATTTTCAATTCTTTGCCTCTCTTTTTTGCCTTTTTTGAATCTTTTCTCTATGTGTTATCCTTTCTTTATCTTTTACCTATCCAAAGTTTTAAACTATCTTTTAGTTTCCTCTTTATTTTTTTCTTCTATTTTTATACAATTCACTTTCTTTTTTGCCATTTCTCTATTTCGGATAAAAATCACCATTTTTCAAACTAGATAGTCTCTAAGTTTTTATGAAACCTGTTTAGTTTTGAGTCAAAGGATCCATGTTGACATATGGGTTTTTACCAATTTGAGTTTTATAGAGTTGGGTTAATTTGGCCACAATATATGAGCGTGCTATATGAATTAAAGGGTAAAAAGGTTCTATCACATAAATACCAATTCTTATTATTGCAAATGATAGTAATACATTTTTTAATATTTTTAACTTTTTGTATAGCCATACTTGCTTTAATGATAATTATGATTCATAACTTCAATCAATTTATCTTTTTTGGTAGATAAAACACATCCTACTCTAAATCTTACTAGATATACCATAGAAAGCAAATATACATTGATAGGTTTGGAATTTTCTTATTTCCAAATAATATTAATTACAGGCAAAGATCTTTCTTTATGGTTCTATTAGTTTAATTGAAGAACCATGCAAGTCAGCTCACCTTGCAATAATGAACATTGCCAAGAGGTCTAGCAACATCCTCTTTTGTAATCTAAATTTAAGATTACCACTGTGACCATCAGCAGAGGTTGCTTAGAAAGGGCATAATGAGTATATGGGATCAAGCAGACCTTATCAAGGTAGGAATTTGTGATTTCAAGACTCATACATGAAATGTCTTGCTATTGCATTCATTTGCAGCTAACCTATGAAAATATAGGTAAATGAGGATGAAATTACATTCTTAATAGTAGATGATCACCCTTATGATGATAATGTGGTGATTGAGAAGCTTTTTTATCCTAATCTTAAGCTTTTGGTTGTTGTTGATGGGTCAATATGTTGTAGATATTACACCAAGGTAAGATTGTCTAATTTTCTTTTCATTTACAAAAAAAGAAAAGAAAAGAAAGAAGATTACTTTATGTTATGAATTTCACTAACAATTCTCACAATCCTATAACTTGGTTGCTTAATTGGTCGATTTCAGTTACAAGTAGATAAGAAAAAGAAATTTCAAATTTCTTTTAGAAAAAAAGAAAATAAGAAGAAACTTGGAATCGGAAGCTTTCAAACTGCTATAGCTACTAGGGTTTATTTCATAAACCAAATTAATCTCAATTACATCTTACAAAATCTACCTTTGATTATTTGTTTAATTCCAAGATCAATATCGATTACTTGGAGGGAATGTAGCCAAGTTAAGAATTGATTTCATGAAAAAATAGCTCACTACTTTTTGTTCTCAACTTGAAAAAGTTCAAAATGGCTATGTAAAAATGTTCCCTTTGAATTTTTTTTATGATTTTTAATAGTTTTAATTTTTTTTAATTTCTATTTTTTTTTAAAGAATGATATTTGTAAAAATTCATCTTTTAGGTTACAATTTCACAAAATATGTGTTAAAGTAGGAATGGATTTTTTAGCTTCAAATAATAAATTTTGGGTTATGCTTTAAGGATTGGTGATTTCTATTATGTACTTGGTTGGTATCCAAAATCATTTTTTTAAAATAAATTGCAGCATTTTCTTTTGTTTTCAAGTTATTTATTTATTTTTTATAGCTTAAATTGATTTTATTTTATATATTTAGGCCAAAGTTTTGAGCTTTATGTCTTTTTTTTTTTTGTACAAATGTTTTAATCTCTTTAACTTTTTTTTTAGCATTTTCTTTTAATGCAATTTTTATAATTTGTTAGCTATTTTTGCATTATAGCAGTATGAATGTAACTATGATAGTATTAGATTTTTTTTGGTGTAAAATTCTATAATTGTGAAATTTATTAATTTCTCTTTTTTTTAGCATGATACATGAATTCATGATCTGTAATGTCTTTTTTTAGAGTCTTTTAATGCTTCTTATTATCCATTTCGAAGTGTTAACCTTAACATGGAAAAAATTTATGTCAAGATTTGGTAGAATGCTTATAATGAGATTTTGGAACTTGGCTAAATGAGGGTGCAAATTGTTGAGATTCATATGGGCCTATCTTTATTTTAAGTTATCTTAGTTTTGTAATCTAAATTGGCAAATTCAAAATTGAGTTAGCCTTTTTCATTTATGTAGGCTAGGGTTGGATCTACTACACTATCAATGGTTGGCCTTTTATCTTTACTTTGATTTGTACCATAATTTTTTTTTTCAATTTTTATGAATAAATTCAAGCAACTAAAGTGAAGACTTTACATGTATAGGCATATGCAACTATCAAGTTAGTAGATGCATGCCTCTAAGGCTTGAGAGGATATGTAGCAATTATGGAATGTGCCTTTGTAGCTTCCCAGATACCCTCTTCAAATGTTTATTTCATGCCAACATCTTCTTGGTTTTGCATTTTTCACATTTTTTTTAATAATCAACAGACTCTCATCTTAATCACAGGTTGCAGAACTCCCTCTCTTTACAACCAAAATATGACTTGATCGTATTAAAGCTAAGGAAGTCTATCAACTGGGGTCTCTAAACGAGTATGAAAGATATATATACAAGTATATTTTGTGTTAGAAATATAAATATTTTTACTATTTTAAGTACAGATAGCAAAGTACTCAATTAATTCATGTTTGATTTTTAATAGGATTCATTTAGAGAAAGCAAAGAAAGAGTTAACAGAAAGCAGTCAGATTGGTATTGTCTTTATCAAGAAATGAATTGGTGGTGAGTGGATCTCTATTATATAAGCTGCCTAAATCTATTATAGGATTTTGAATATGTTTTGATAGTTTGAAGAATCTACTACAAGGCTTTAAATAGACTTCTAATGTCTAATATCCAAACTTAAAAAAAAAAATTAAGAGTCCTTTTTATTTTAATTACATTTTAGTACATTTTGATTTGTATTGATGATAGAAATTAAAAAGAATCTTTTAAAGCTTGGTTGGTTGTAATAATTTTTTGCATTATGATTAATTCAATAAAAAATTATAAATATATATAATTCAATAAAAAATCTAGTTAATTATTAAAGCAGTCTCTTTGACCACAAAAGTATAAGCTATTTGCATATTAATTATCTAGCTATATTGAATGATTTAATTATTACTTTCATATGCATCTATCTATCAATGATGTCTTTGCAAATTCGCCATTCTTTATTTTAGCAGAGAATGCTAGCTTGTTAAAAATAAGGTAAGTGTCCAAGTTTCTACCAAAACTTGGTGTCTTTTTTTAGTTCAAATAGTTTTTTTTCATGAAAAAGGATGAACACAAAAAGATAATTGTTCCTACCAAGAAAAGTTATGAGGTTTTTTTTTAAAGTAGTTTCATTACTACATTTGATTACCTGACCTATCTATGCTAGTAGCTAGTAGTGCATGTCTGTTTACAAGTCATGTTTATTGATATCACATTTTGCAAAAGGATGCACTCAACCATAGATATCCAATACATGTATGTATCTAAGTCTAACTTGCCATTTGCGTGAGCATTTGCACTCTCTGAGTCAGCTAAAGAGTTGAAAAGTACATGGATTCATCTTATAACAATTTCATTAAAAGTACATAAATATAATTTCATTGTATAAATAAAATTTCTTTCTACTTTCTCTTTATGAAAAAAAATCCTTTTTTTCTTTATTTAAATTCTTAATATTAATTTCAAAAATTTTTATAAAAAAAAAATGAAATACTTTTGTTTTAATAACCTCAAACTCACTCACTATTTTATATGAACTATATAATCAAGCTAAAGCCCAAAGACATAACAACCCACAAGATCTCTTTTTTGAGCTAGATATAATCACATGTTAACCCTAATATAAGAAAGTATAATGGACCTAAGTGGGAATAAGATGGAAAGCCCTAATCTACTTGCCATTCTTCTTATTCTTTTCCATCAAGCCCTAGTGGCTACCTGCTAAACTTGAAATCCAATGGTCCTCCTGCCCTTGCCTCTCCTTGCTATTCTATTTGAAAAAGAACTTTTAGATTGCTATTTTTGAGCTAAGTGCTGAAAAGCCATGCTCACATTAAGCCATCATTGCATAAGAAAGAGGAAATTGTGGAAAAACTAAGTATATTGTAAAACTTCTTTGAAGAATTATACAAGCATCTTAGGTCTATATGTAGCAAATTAAAGGATAAACCAAAAAATTAAATTTCTCTAAAGTTGATCCTTATAATTGAAGGATATTCTAATTTTCTATTCTTAATTCTAGAGATATAAATATTTAATACTAGTGATACAAATATTTACAGATTATAACTAGCGGTAATTAAGTGTTTTCCCCCTTAAGCTAGTGAATATGTGTTTTTCATTCTTAGCTTGAAAATAATTTACTAAAATGTTGCATTGCTGAGATCTTTAGTCAATACTTTTGCAAGTCGACCCTTGGTTGATACATATAGTTTACAAATCAACTCACTGTCTAGTTTTTCTTTTGAAGTGCTAGTCTACTCAGTGTGTTTTGTTTTGTCATGTTGCATAGGATTGTATGCAGTGCTCATTGTAGACTTGTTATCTAGTAAAGTCTCATTAATTCATCCCACTTGTTCTTCAAGTCTTCTAGGATAATCTTTAGTTATAATAGTTCACAAATTCCTTGAGCCATTGCTCTAAACTCTGTTTTAACAATTAATCTTGCCATTATATCTGTTTTTTCCTCTTCCAAGTTATAAGGTTACCACTTAACTATAGTAGCTTGAAGTGGATCTTTTATCAATTACTATACTTGCATAATTAGTATTTGTGTATGACATTTGTACCAGCCTCTGATTTCTTTTGAACAAGATTTTTCTCCTAAGATTGACCTTCAAATATTGTAGTACACAATAGATAGCTTTAGGTACATTTCTTTAGGACTATGCATAAAACTGACTTATCATACTCACAACATATACTATATTAGGTCTAGTATGTAAGAGATAAATGAGTTTTCGAACCAATCTCTGCTGTCATATAATATAAGTCCATAAAACTATTGCAAGACATAACTTTAGAAATCACCATTAATCTTTTTTGTTTAGATACAACTGATCACCTAACTGAATCTGTTTCCTTTTAAAGAGAAGTTCTAAACTCAACTCAAGTTCCCTTGAAAAGTAAATTCTAATCTATGAAATTAGAATGGACTTAGGAATATGGTTATGTGTAGGGAAGGTTATAGTACTTTTACAACGTCCACCTAAAAGTTGGTATCATTCATTTCATATTATCCAAAAGCCCCAAAAAACTTTACCAAATAATTTAATATTGAAATGATCTTTAATTACTCTAATATGTTAGTAATAATTTAAGAACATTTCCCAACTCAAGAGTATTTAAGAAAATTATTTGTCATATTTGAAAAGACTCCGTCTTCGAATTCATTTAATTTTTATACAAAAACCTTTATTCCTGACAAGTGAAAATTTTTGTGAGAATCTTAATCTTGAAAATATTTTTTAAATTCTCCAATATGTTGGTAAAATTTAGAAAGAATTTCTCACCTAGGAATTTACATGGAAATGGTTGTTTGCAACTTTTTAGTAATTTCATTTTCAAAGATTCAAAATCAATTTTCGTTTTTAGAAAATATCTTCCAATATATTGGTAAGATTTTTTGTCTAAAAAAATCCAATATAGTGGTATGACTTCATGAAAATTATTTTTTTTCCAAAATATATGTTTTTTAAAATTAATAAGATTTTTAATACGTTAGTAAAATCTTATTTTTAGATATTTTAAAAATCATAAAACCCTCCAATATTTTAGTAAAGTTTTTATTGTCTTTTTTTTTTTTTAAATTCTTTCCAAAATTTTTAACATTTTAATATGTTGGTAAGGTTTATTTTTTCATTTTTTTTTAATTTCAAACTTTTCAATATGTTGGTAAGATTTTTATTTGTTATTTTCAAAAATTATTTTTGTTAAAAAAATATTTT